CAGGTGTGTTGCAAGCAGTCATGGTCAAAAAGTACATGTGAACGTGGGAATGGTGGACCAATCTTCGTCTTCCTGGCTACAAGGGTTGCGCTCAGTTGGCGTGCTGAACGGTGGAGAAGCACAATTTGAGGGTGTAAGGGTAAGGGCCGGCTAGAACGAGAGGAGAGACAAAAAGAAAGACATCAGGGAACGAAAACAAAACCAAAACTCTCAGGATGAATCATTAGTTTAAAATCTGCTATTTCAGTACCCGTATGTGAAGATGTGAGGGTCTTGCACATACCCGCGTTTTTCATCTGGTAGTGGTTCATCAGAGCCAGCGCCTCCATGGCGTCATTGATGGACTCCCACTCTAACAGACCAGAAGCACTGCGGTCACTGGGAGCTGCGCCACCTGGTGGTGAGGAGTCGAAGTTAAACACACAGCTCTGTACAGTGTGGATATCTTTCATGTGTTTCAACGTTCTGGTTAAAATGTTTGTCGATGTTGAGCCTGATTATAAATGTCCTAATTTTAAAAACACTAATAATACTGTTCAGTAGCTATTGTTCAGCACTTTATCTGATTAATGTGTCTTAGTTGCTTTTATGTTTACTGAGGGATTCCAGATGTAACAGCGGCCACATTTGATTCATACATCTCGATAGCAGAATCACTTACTCTTTCCTGTGAACATTTTGACGTTGACGGGGCACTTGACGCCGATCTCATCACAGATCTGTAAAGAGAAAAGCTTTTATTATTAGGGACCGCAAGCACAGCAGCACCTTTAATTCTGACAGTCAGAGAAAACACACACATATTCCAGCGCGATCAAATACAGTCAGCTGTGATAACAATCGTTTTGCTCCAGCTGTGTTTTTAATAAAAGCGTCGCAGGTGATGGTGCGTCAGTTTAAAGCAAACAGATCTTTATGTGAGACTCAAAGCATAACCGTCACACCCATACGTCCTCCCTGTCCACACACCTGGGAGAAGACCTCTGGCGTGACGTCTGGCTGAGCGTTGAAGAAGTGCAACACGTTGCTCGGGTGCTGAATGCGGTTTTTGGCCGCCTGTTCTGGTGAGGTGAACCGGTTGTTCCTGGACCCGTGGAAGTCCTTGAAACTACTCGTGCCGTCCTCCAGCTCGTAACACTGACCCGGTACAATGGCTTGCTGCTTGGACACACTGCAGGGACGGATGGTTTCAGTTTTAAAAGCACATTTTTCCAACAACCATACCAACAACAGCAGTAATTTAAAGGCTCCAGCTTGTTTTTGGATGGTTGAACTCACCACACATTCATTCTCTGTCCAAAGAGGAAGTTGTTGTTGAGGTGAGTGATGGCGCGGTCCACTGCATAGCAGTCTCCCATTTCCACCATAGCTGCCCCAGGCTTACTCTTCATGAACTTCACCTACAGAAAGTGACAGAAGACAGGATTGACCAGTGCCCTCCGATACAGTGCCATCCTGCGCTTAAGGGCTTCACACACAAACGGGTTAGAGATCATAACTTGGAGCAAGGGTGTGTGTTATGAGTCAGTATTTTCCACTTTGAAAATGCAACAAAGCTCCATGTGACAACCTGCTTCATTCCTGATTTATAAAGCTGCATGTTAAGTCGTTTGTTTTGTTTTAATCTGTTACATTTAACATTACTTGCCCAGCAGCTCAGTTATTTCATGCCAGAGATTAAATAACAAACAGATTAAAGAGTAGTCCTACTTTAAAAGCAGCTATTTATAGAAACATCGCAACGAAAATAGCAATGACAGCAAAAATAGACGGGATTTAAATGAACGATATAAAAAAAAAAAACCTTTCTAAAAACAGGAATTACAAAATGAAATGTCCTGATTCACTGGAGACCTGGAACAAATACAGATTCTTCTTCACATGAATGTTTTTTCATACTGACCCGCTCTACATTGCCATAGAGACAGAAGATATTGAAAACGCGGTCGGCGTTCATCTTGACGGGGTCCAAGCCGTACAACATGACAACTGGAGACTCAGCGTGGCCGCCGTACTCGCCGGGAGGAGGGGGAGGAGGTCCGTAACCCGGCCCGTAGCTTCTTCCCCCGCGCCCTCTCATCGGTGGACCCATGCGGCGGCCCTCGTAGGGCGGAGATCCATAGCTCTCGTCGTAGCCATGGTAACCACCTCCTGAAGAACGAGGCAGAGAGCAGAAGATAAACTACCGATAAGGCGAGGTGAGGGTTTTCTAGAAAACTGCCACAGCTTGGAGAAAAAGATTTGGTCCCTCGATCATAAATACAAAGATATAAAGAGTCGGAGTCGACGGCTCAAATTACAACACAGCACTACTTAACTGCCACTGTGTGGAGGACCCATCTATAAACTCACTGCTTGATTATTTAATACATCACAGAAGAAGTCCTTTTGAACTTTCAGGCGCAGGAAAGATAAGCACAGGATCTTCTTTTGGCATTTGTGTTTGGATGCATTTCCTCGTTGATCGGGAGTGAGAGAGCCTTACCGTACTCTGGAGGGTGGTCGCCCAGCAGAGCAGGCTGCCTCTGGCGCTTGTTGGGGTTGGCATTTACATCTTCTATTAGAATGGGAAGACAAAAAAGGAGGAGGAGGGAGGCAGAGAAAGAAAAAAGTGACAGATAAATATGAGAGAAGACTGGAAACAGGACTATACATGACAATGGGATGCTTACGGCATCATGGCAAACATTCTGAGGCCAGAAATTAGAGATTGCACACCGTAAAGTAGATAGAATTTGTCAGGGTAACTTTATCAAGGACTTCAAATCAACATTAGTGCTCGAGACAGACGCATGCATTTCAAGATTGATTCATCTGGCCTGTACGAGCCATACCCCCCTCCCACATTACACTGCAGGCTACAACCAATCAAAACAAGTAGCTGAATTTATCAGTGATTGACCTCGGTCTGTATTAGAATTAGTTCAGTGAAATGGGAAGGGAGGCATGTGGATGTAAAAGATGGCAAGACTGATATTAGGTTCTATGGAAGTTACCCTACAAACACGAGCTCTTTAAAATCAGAAAACATCCACAATGGTAACCCTTTAGCAAATAAAGTAGAACTGGGGAAATGGCAAACATGAGGAGGATGCTGATGATCTAGGAGGTGAAAGGGGGTAAGGATATCAAACAAACAGTCACTCTGGATATGCATCACAAATGGCTAAAGTTAAAAATAAAGTTTGTACGCTCACACACACCTGCATTGCTCCCATTGCCATCTGCATCACCATCTGTACAGGTACACAATAATCATACACAATCAGAATGGAAGCCAGGTTAATCAACGGTACATTTCTTCCGGGCAAATGTGAAATTAACCCAGTTTAAATGTCAGGAGAGTGCAATAAAACCACTCGTGACAACGCTGTCTGTCCTCATTCGGGAGGTATTTCAGGATAAACGCAGACAAAAATTGACTATGAAATGCAAATGGCTTGGTACCTCTGCAGGTGACCAACCGGGCTCATGCAGAATATCAAAAGGCAGCTGGTAAACTTTGGACAGCCACTGTGGCTGGAGGAGGAGAAGCTCTCCTGGCTTTACAGGTATGTGATGCTTTGTAATAAACAGGGTTGGTCGTGGATCAACCACATCCTACAGGAATTAATCAGTTCACACCCTTCTCTCCAGATTAAAAAACATGATTTAACCCCCCCAAAGAAACTATCCCAGAAGTCCAGGGAACCACAGAATAAGATTTCTTGTGGCTGTAAACTGCCGACAGAAGGAGCGAACAGACATACAGTAGGTTAGTGTGACATTAGAGATACAGTCTCAGACAGAACCACAACCGTCACCCTCTTCCAGCAAGAGCAAGATTAAGCCTGTATGAGGGGAAAAAAAAATCGAGTCATGTCAGTCTTGTGTGGCGATGTTGGGTGCTGGGCTTTGGAGTCATGTGGTGCTGTGCAGTTATGTTCCCTGAGGAGGGTCTCGATTTACTTACTGCATGCTTACAAACAGTGGGAGGAAGATATTTGCTGCAGTAGTTCCACCACTCAATTCATTTCATCCCATACTCCTATCCATTTCCTCTTTTGGGGAAACAACTCTCCACCTCAGGATCGATTCCTGGTTTTATCAAGTTGAAACGCCCATTGGTGGCATGGTTGGCCGTTTGGTTGCTGTTTTCCATCCTTATGTGTCGCTTTTTGGAATAGTCCGCTTAGCGCCCACTGGTAGGCCTTGAGGCTGCCATAGAGAACATTTCAGTTGGGGGAAGCTGGCTCCTCTTAGCCGCAAATTGCCAAACCTGCATCACATGGAAGGAGTTCCACAGGTCCTAGAGACTTTAAAATGTTAAGAAAGAAAAACTGCACTCAAAAAAAAAAAAGGGGACAGCTAAACAGGGATGCATGTAGTGAGAAAATCAGAGAGGGTAAAAGATGAGGAGATGAGGAGAAAGAGCAAGAGAGAAAAGCTGAATTCCATGTGGGAGGAAACACATAACGGGGTAAAACCAAAAAAATGGGCCTGAGTGTGCTTGATGGTGTTGTCAGCAGTGTCTTCATCAGTTGTCTTGTGTTGGCTCCAGTGTGACTGGCTACAGCTTGATTCGGGGGGGGGGGTGTGAGTCATCTATTGGATCAGTCGGTACGGCATCAGCGAGTGTGTTGCTTGAATGTGTTGTTTTTTTTCGTGTCAACAAGCGTTAACGAGCGACGCGGCCCGCGACAGTACAGGAAGGGCCGAGGCTTTTTTAAAAACATGTGATCTTCGACTGGTTAGTATCAGTGTGCATCGTCTGTTGTACTGAGATGTCTGTCACTACCTTCTGTTTGGGTGGGTACTGTGTCTCCTCTGGTATCAGTCTCCATTTGGTGTCGACAGTGGGGGGGGGGCAAGCTCTGGCCTGCTTCAATGTGTCATTCGCTTATGTCTCAAAATGGGTAAGAACGGATGAAGGGGGCAAAAGGGGGGGAGGGACCAAGTGTAGCTCAGTGCCCAAAACTCCCCGCCCTTAAAGAAGTGTACGTTGTCTTCGTGGCTCTTGTGCTGTCCTACACACATCAGTCCTACATCGTCGTGTTGAATGGGAGGTGTCTTGCTGTTTATCTCCTTGTGTCTCGGGGGACAACTGGCCCTCTGTGTGATAGTGGTGGACTGAAGAAGTGGATACTTGAGATGGTGGTAGCTGAGTGGTGATGTTGTCAGCATGTATCTGCCTCTCCCTCTAGCACAAACTCCTGTGCATGTTTTTGTTTTTTTGCTGAGATCAAAAGACTGATTAGCAGAAGATAAGAGTTACACGATGGATAGTTTACTGATGCTGGTCCATGCCTCTGCTCGCATCTTAACTTACGAGTTACAAAAGAGGAGTACAGATTTGAATATCAAATCTTTTTTAGACTTCAGTATTTCTGTCAAAGTTTAAAAACACGCAACCAAATGGGAGAAGCTAGTAGGCAGTGGAAAAGACCAGAATCAGCCTCGGTGGCAGGGAAATGTGTTTCCAGTGACGGCTTTTAAAGTTAATGTCAGCTACATGTTGCCAAAACTGTAAAAAATTAGTAACACTGCTATCACCCAAAGGATCCCCGAAACTCTGCATAATGTCCAGGTGTGGTAAGAAAGGCAGGAACAGCAAACGGGAAACCTTGGCATGCAACAGGCTCGTGTCTTCATGACTGAGGTATGTAAACACTCTTCGGGGGTGACAGGACACTCGGAGGTGTGTTCATCAGACAACGGTGCTTTTGTTTTCTGTCTCAGGGCCGTACTTTTCCCCGTCTACAGAATGTACACCGCACCGTCACGGGTAGTTACCTTAACACACGACCTAAAGTAAGGTTTATAGCAGTGTGGAAGAGATTACAAACCGTCCTGTATGGGAGGAGGTTCAGATCCTCGGTGGTCACAGCTCAGGTGCTGAAACAGGATTCACAGTCCAATAAACTGCAGCTGCAGCGACAGTGTGTGTTTATGACTAGACACTGACTGGTTACACAACTTTAATCAGCAGTTATCAGAGTGTTTGTGTCACATTATGTGCAAGTTACAGTGACACAGAATATTCAATAAATATTAATACAAGTTGAAGTCATTATGAGAGGTTTCATCTTGTGTGCTAGAATCTAAAATTAGGAGTGAATAATTGTGCTGTTAAATGAGTCAAAGCTAAAATTAAATATTGTTAGATAATTTACAACTCCCCCAGAATTAAACATTTATAGTGATATTAACTTAAACATATTCTTAAATATAAACCACCTTCTTTCTGATGTCTAAATTTAACTCTTCCCATTTCTTTCCCTTATTGAATTGATGTATTTTTACTTTTTCCACCTCTCTATATAATTTCTTCACGGTAACTACGAGGGGAAGAGAGAGAGGTAGAGAAAAGAGTTTGGAGGAAAAAGATCATTAGATTTATTATATTTCTGCCTTTATAATGGAAATAGAGATTTGTGCCAGTGTGAGGACTTTAACAACAGACACATTCAGGTCAAGTAAACCAGAACATCTACATCCCACAAGTGTACAGACAGTTTCCAGACATTGCGTCATCTTAAAGCCTTGCAGTAACGTAACAAACGGTACGCTTCACGTTTTATGTTGCCTGCCAGTCGTCTTTAACGCATTCCTGCCATTCCCACCACACTGCAGAGTTTGACATTTTAAATATCCCCATCACGCCTCTGACTCGCTCCTGCATATGAACCCTGATCATAGTGTGTATTGACCCAAAGTAACACTTCAGTCATAATGCCACACAAAGCTCTTCCCAAAAATACTATAAAATATATACATTTAGTAGCATTATCAGTGAAGCGTGTTGCCTCCATCTTCCCAGTAGCCCCGCTTGCTGAAACTCCTCACAGTGGCAGTAAGGGTGCGTTACAGTATCAGGCTCCTAAGCAACAAAGCGTGTACGGTGCTCAGCAAATGCTCTAAATGTGTTCAGGTGTTTAAGGTGTTACCTGGTCCTCCCAGATTGGGGTTCGTGTAGTCCCAGGTGTCTTGGTCATTCTTGAACACATTCAGACGAGTGGGCTGAGGAAAAACAATTTATATGAATAAAAGCATGAATATAGTTTCAACCTGCCCGACAAATAATATATGTAACTGTTTATACTGCGACTTTAGAGCTGTCAGGGTAACAGATAAATATATATCTGTTCAAAGTAAGGCTACAAACTGCTGCAGTTCCCAGCTACTCAACTAAAGATGGGTCCATTTCATCCTAACTGGATTTACCATTTAGACAGATTTAATAAAACGCAGTGTGTGGAAACAATAACATTACGTAGACGAACGCTGTGCTCTGCAGTAATACCTTGGCGTACTCGATCTTCAGCGTGCAGCAGCCGGAGTAGATGTCTGCTCCGTTGAGCGATGCTTTGGCCCTTTGGGCGCTTTGCACGGAGTCGAATGTAATGACAGAGTTAAGGACAGAACAGACTAGGAGACTACGACTACGACAGATTTATGATTGCTGAACTACCAGAAGATGTCAGCCAATCACCAATTAAGTTTGACTACCAGGGTTTTAGAACTTCCGTATGTGAAATATGTCTACATGTTTTAAGAACATTGTGTCAAACAGGTTTGTTTTAAACCGACTTAACATACCAGAGAAGTTAGTGTGAGAATGACACGTACCACCAATCTGTTCATTTTGACTTACGACTTGCAAAACAAACCCATCCAGTCTGTGTTAGTGTTATTATTTTACACTTAGTTGTCAACAGATTGTGAGCCTCATGTCAGACAGCATCCATGGAAAAGGATATTCAACCATCGCCTGGACGCCGTTCTTCCTGAAGATGACGATTCTCTGGACGGGTCCACAGTTGTTGCAGATAGTGTAGAGGACATCCTGTGAAAAATAATACACACAAACAACAGCAGAGGTCAAATACAGCTGTGAATCCAAGATAAGAAATACAAAGCAGAAACAGCAGCACAGTGAAATGTAGTTCACAAAGTACAATACAGAATAATACAGTCGGTTATCTATATGCATCTCACGGTTTGAGTTGGACTAGGAGGACATTTGAAGACGTGACCTTTCACTAGTTTTCCACTGAGAAGACAACCAGCGACAGACGCAGAGTATAAACCAGAAACAATCAGCGACTCCTCACATTAGCAAGTTAAATTCTGCCGGCATTCAAGCGAGGCAGTCTCTGAATCTCCGAGAGAGAGCGGTGCATTAAGAAAACCACAAACCAGAATTAAAACATCAGCCGACGGATATTTGCAAACCGCGTGCAGAAGAACCGACACTAAGAGACGTAGAAAGCGGACTCTCTGCATTTACCGTGGTGATGGGGTAGATCGGGTTCATGATGGTGAGCAGAAGAACATTATTAACACTTCTGGAGTCGTCAGAGTCTCCCGGCCTGGAGATCTTTTGACTAGTGGAGTAGTTGATAAAGGCTGGGTGGCCGGCGATGTAAACCTGGTTGTCTGCGGCGTAGGTTACGGCTGTGGATGACCCGTTCATGTCCTCGTACTCCACCAGCGCCTGCCGCTTCTTGGGCATCACCACTACGTAGCTGAAACCAGAGAGCAGATGCGGTGAACACATTCGCATCCAGTATCTCGCAGGTAGAAAGGTTGCGCCCTTTGGAACACATTCTCTTCATTTTTGTAATGAAGACATGTTTGTCCCACACTAGAATGAAGGCGTTTTGCTAACCTGATTGCGCCGAATTCTTGCAAGGCCTCCACAAGGTCCGCCTCTGTAACACCGTCCACCAGCCCTCGGACGTGCACCACCACAGAAGGAAGTGTCTTGTGTGGATCTTCGTATCCCTGCGTGGAAGAAAAACAAAACAACCGTCAGTGGGAACATTTCTATACGCTCTTGTGTGAGCCTTTTGTGCTGCAATCTTTAGATTTAAACACGCAACGTGGCAACTAGCATGGGAATATTACTGGTAGATGTTTTGTGCACATTTATTATGCTGCGTTTGAGAGTTTTACAAGATATTTATTCAGTTTAATTGCTTTAATAGCATCTGACAACGGATGAAAACCATTTTAAGATCCCTGTAAATCATAAAATGAAGCTGAGATTAAACTAATAACATAAAGAAAGTCTTCACACCGTCTGCTCCAGCACCTGGGCATTATTTAAAGAGTTAACAGAGCTGATAGACAGCTCATGCTCGCCTTAAATAAAACACTAATTAACCTAAAGGTCACCTGGTGCAGTCGGGGTTAAATCCCGTGATGGAGTCTTTAAACAGTCTCCAAATTAAAACACCTTCCTCAAAGCACAGAGTAGTATTAGTTGACTCAAACGTGCATTAAGGAGGGAGCCGTGGGTTCGATGCTGGTCGGTGTTAACACCGGATTACAGCGTGTAGCTCGCTGTTAGCACGCTGCTAACGTTACCGGTGCGAAGCTAGAACAAAGCCGGGCTGAGGCGAGGCCCGGCCGGGGAGAAACCCGCCCTCATCGACCCCATCCGGGCGGCGCAGCACCGCAGACACACACGATATAACCCCGGAGACGTGTCCTTAAACGCACCAAACACACAAACCGCGGTAACAAACGAGCCCGGCTGGTAAAAGAGAAGAGTTACAACAACGTTTCTCTCAAACACAGACGTGGATAAAGACCTGTGACGCGTCCGGACCTTCTTTTTTTTTTTTTCCCTCCTCTTTGCAGGATGAATTAAATCACAATAAAACACCGTGAACGCGTCTGTTAAGGGATGTAAAGCGACCTCCGGAGAGCGGCGCACGGACACGACTCACCGTGGCCATCCCGTCGGTCTTCTGCCTCTTGGTTGCCCGGCCGTCCTCGCTGTAGTAACGGCTCGCTGCAGTAGCCATGTTGTCCCGGTTAAAAAGGATGGTGGTAGTGACGAGCAACTGAAATGGACGGAAAAGTCAAGAAAAACGAGGCTCCCGTGGCCCCGCCCAGTGCAACGCCAACGCCTGCTGTGATTGGCGGAGGCGGCCGTCAGTCTGTCTAGGTGGCTTTGAGTGGCAGCCAATAGGAGAGCAGGAAGCGCAAACAGGCTTTTTATTGAGAGCGGTTATTCAAACAATGTGATGTAATGTGAATGAGAAATACTTTAAATACGATGCATTTAAAGACATATTTAATCTGAGGGGTGTTAATGTTAATTAAAAAAAAAATATGTAAATTAAAATGTATCTGTATTTATTACTTGGGAAGCTTTTTTTGGAAGAAATATCTTTGTAAAATCCCAGTTCTCTCAATAATTGCACACAGTAAAAGAACTAGCATATGGACCTAGTGTTATTCTTTAATAAATAAAGAATTAATTAAAAACTTCTGCTATCTTGTATTTAGTTTCATAAAACAAACTTAGGTGTGTTAGAAATAATAAAATAAGACCACAAAAGGTATGTTGAAGATGTTTATTCAAAAATAAAACTGCCACTGTCTTACCATATAAGCCAGGAACAAAACTGAACTGTTAAAGCAGCCCTTACAGAAATCAAACTGAAGCACTGTATATATTTTAAAATCAAAGTCACAGGAACAAAATCAAACACATGGGGAAAATCTATTCAGCGCACAGTGAAGCTGATCAGGTTTGTAAAACGGGCAGTGCAGCACAGAAACAACAAACAGTAGGAATGTGACATATTTAAAGGCATGCAGGCCAGCAACTGTCTCCTTATATCACCATGAGAGGAAACCGTAAACAGCATCTGAACTCAAATCATACTGGAGAGCAATACAAAACAAAAAAATTTTACATCGTTTGCAGATTCTCAACGGGGGAAAAATATTTTAAGGTTCAGAAATCTGAGCTCAAGGAATAAAAGGAGGTTTTTTTTTCAATGCAGTGTCGTCACCCTCAAGAACTGCATCAACTAAACCATCTTCCGACGCAATTTACTGTATGAACGAGGCCCGAATCACTGCTAAAAGTCAACTGCAACATTCAAAATTACCTTAACATAGGCGTTACACTTGCTACGCGACTTCTGAGAAGAAAGATGATCTCTGCAGCAGCAACATTTAAAACAATCTATCAAATGGAAACTGATTTATGTCTGCTATACTGACTTTATCTGGGGCTGCACAAAGACTTCAGTCCTGGGGAGGAAATTAAACTTAAAGACTGGGACTAAACAGACAAGTACAAAAAAACAAAACACTTCTGTAGGGCTGTAAAAGCAGACAGGGTGCAGGGGTTGAGGGTCTGTCTGTTAAGGAGAGCGGTAGGGGGGGAACTAATAGGCTTCTTCACTCAGTCGTCTGCGGGCGTAGCGCTTCGGAGTGGAGTTGCTGAACGGGAACGACTGAAACAAAAACAGAGAGGAGTTAGCTTGCCACAGGGGAGGATTGAAGAATGATGAATAGAAAAAAACCCACATTACTCAACATCTTAATACAGTGTACAACTTTTGTGAAATTCATGACTGGATGGGCGCTGATATTTGTTAACTGAATACCTCTTAGACCAAGGCTCATCTCAGGAGCCACAGGTTTTTATTATTCATTAGCTTTATTCATCTAAAAAGGCAACTAATCTTTGTGTTTGAGGAATAATTCCTGGGTTAAAAAAAGCTAAATATATTTAATTTAACCCATTAAACACCCATTGAAATGAATGACACAAGTCCTTGACAGTCTCCTCACTGGCAACTACACATTGTTAAAGTGGTTTCGGCTCGGGAGGAGACATTTAGCACTTTAAATACACTACAAACACAAAAAGGTGGGCAGCACAAACAGATGGAAACTAGAGCCAGACCGATATGGGATTTCTGATATGGATCCCACTTTAAGAGGGGAAAAACACTGATTATGGGGCCAATGTAGTGAATCTTTGAGACCTTTTCTATGTGGATTGTGCACCAATGTGATTATGCAAAGGTACTCAGAAGAAGTGTCTGCAATAGGCCAATATTGGCAGATAATATTGGCCGACTAATATATCGGTCAGGCTCTAACGGAACCTGTTGTACACCGTGACCAGTGAATGAACTGCACATTTGAAAGCCACCATTATTTGAGTTTGAGTACTAAAATAAATACTAGAATGATAAAAGATAGTAATGGTAATGATGTGGCAACATGTATGGCACAAGAAGAAAAAACATATCTGACAAAAAGGCCTCCTGAGAGATATCAGCCCATTAAAATTGATGTTTCTTTCCTCTCTTGCACTCACTCAATCATCCACGTACTCTCAGATTCAACCACACATTTGTACTCTGAGCATGCTTGTTAAAAAGTCTCAACTTTAGCTCTACAAATCACCAGTTTTCCCAGACTACATCAAGCCTGTGCAATTTTCTTTCACCATGAACATGAGCTTGTCAGGGGGTTGGATTTTTGGTTACCTTTGGAGACAGTGGCAGAAACAACAAGTACAGAGAAGCGAAGGATGAAAGGACTGAAGGACGGATGACTACAACTTGGAGAGACACTGCGCTGGGAGGCTCTTGAAGACTGATCTCTCGTCAGCTCTCTTTCTCTCACTTTCAGAAGCTAAGACAGAGGCCGAAGAACTCTGGTAGGTAGGGGGTCTGGTAGGTAGATAATGGATTTAAAAAGGTAGTGGTCGAACTCTGATCTGTGTGGGTCAGCCCTCTGGTACATCTGAAGGCTGGCTGGCTGGGTGACTCTAGTAGAACAACTGTATGTGTGCATGGGCTGATCTCGTCTGAGCGTGTGCGTCGGTTGAACAGACGGTCACCCATTCACTGTGGGGAGGGTTCGGTCGGTAGGTCGACCTCTTTCTCGCTGTCTAACACCAGATGCAGGCGAAGGCTGATCTCAGGTCAGCGCTTAGTCACCCTCCCGCAGGACGTACACACCGCCAGCTGGCAGACCCTGGGCCTGGGATCAGCTGCGGTGTCAGTGCAGTGCTCAGCTCCCACCACACGCTTTAAAGAAAATATGAAAAATAAACAAAACTGCTGCAAAGATGCTTAACGTAAGTCACACCAATGGTGTCGTTTTGTCTGATCTCAAGTTAATATTTTTCTGAAGAGTCCAAATTCAGGATAGGGAATTAAAATTTAAGAAAACATTTACAATGCTTATAGTGACCATCTTTACTTAACACTTGTCCAATAAATCCAATAAATATAAAAATTTCTCTCTTGCTCTGTCAGCCTACATTCATTTGTTTAGAATAGGGCTACATCTAGGGTGGGTGAGATCAAAAGGAAGGCAAGAGTACAGAAGATATGGGTGCACCTCACTCGTTTTAGCTGCTGAGTCTGAACAGTTTATAGGTTGAGCGGAGACCGTCTTTCATGTGCTCTCATTTCAAGGTCCAATGCGACGGATTAAACTCAGTGTAGCTCTCAAACAGCTTTGACAGCGCAGAGCTATCAAGAGTTGGAAAAGAGAGCACAAGAGAGAGGTCTGATCTTTAATCTACTTATACATCCCTACACCAGACAGAGGGCCCAGGTCACTGTCCTCTACCCCTCCCACTCCACTTCTGGGCAACAGCGGAGGCAGAAGTCACGGCAGAAGACGAAGATCTCTCTGTGTCGAGGAGGAAGAGGGGTCTCGCCGGTCATCCATCTCACGGTCAGGTGGCGGTCGTTTGGTGGCAGCATGATGCTCCCGGGTGGAAGGAGGGTCTATGTAACAGTCAGTCCCTGCCTAGGATGGAGCACCTAACTCTGGCTAATGAGAACATAACTGACCCTGTCTTGAAATGGAAGATAGCTGGAGTCTGAACTATATCTAAATCTATAATGGTTGATCTAGACCTTACTGAGGTGTTACATATGAATACAATGTCTTGGTAAAACACTGACAACTGGCAGGATTAAGCACTAAAAATGTTATTAGACAGCCTACACCCTGTTTCAGTGAAGCAGAGACATCTAGACTGAGGATTTACCTGGCCCTCTTGTGGTTCGCGGACTGAGATCGTGAGCGGG